GGAGAGGCTGTAATGCAGGCAGACAGGGCACTGGGGTGGCAGCACCGTGGTGTTTGTCAGAGGGATTCTAGGTCACTCCAGAGCAGCAGGTCCTTGCAGTGGCCCCAAAGCCACAGAGTTGGCCTCACCCCAGGGACTGCAGCTATTGAGCTGTGTTTTGTCAGCTCTAACCCCTGAACGATAACACTGCTACTAAACCCAAGGTGTAACTTCTCTGAGACCACTCCAACACAGACTCGAGTAGAGGATTAGCTCTACTTGACTAGAAATGAAGTTCATCCACTCTCCAAAGCAACGTCGACAATCCTTAACTTCACCATCAGAAACGAGTGACTTCATTGCCCCACTGGCTGTCTCCAGGCCCAGGGACATGACAACCTTCCCTCCCACTCTTTGCTCCTCAGCTGTGGCACCGAGTCCATGTGCACTCATGCACATCTCCCACAGTCACGTGGACAGGAGATTCCCCTCCTCACTCAGATCCTCAGGGATGTGCCACACGAGTCTTCAGCCTCCAAAGATAAGCTGAGAGCAGCTGGGCTTAAACACCAACACACAATGAGCTCCTGCTGCCAAAACTCCTCCCCAAAAATGTTGAGGATCTTGATAACAACACGAAGTCCTTAGCACACTTGGGTGAAGCTCAAAGCATTAACTTCAGGAAGGATTTTGTTAGGTTTTACCATCCCCTAACTGCTAGCTGAGGTCTCCTGGGTGTCTAATCCACAATACTAACTCCTCTTCTAACCTGTCCACCAGCCACCAATGGATCATCCATATGGGACATAAGAGCTATGGCTAATAGTAACTGGGCAAACATCACCTGGAGCCACAATTACTCTGCAGGAACTGACTTTGTGGTTAAGTATATCACCAGTAAGCATCAGATCGCGTGGGGACTCTACAGGGTGGTGGTGCCACTAGAGATCCTGCCAGCTCCTTCTCTTAGCTGCATGGAGTGATGCTCCATGTCAGGTGCAGGGTGGGAGAGGAAAAGGTCGTGGTCATGGCTGTTTAGAGTAGACCAGAGCTAATCCTGGTGATCCTCAAGTGATTCCCCCTCCTTGCACCAACTGTGAGATGAGCAAAGCTGCTCCTTTGGGACCTGTTTGTTGAGCTGGGCTGGATGTTGGTCAATGTAAAGAGCCTTCAAAATAGACATAAGTCTGAAATGGCTGGAAATTGGAGAGCAGTTGAAATGCCTTTGCAGATGAGCTGCTTGAACCTGGAGTTGGCAGAATCCTCTATGATCCCAAACCTCCTGTTGTATCCAATATCATTGTCTCCTAACACTGTAAGGCTCCATACTGGTGTGGGACCTGAGGGCCACAACCTCTGGGTTTGGTGCTGGTTTAGAAAGACATTTATGTGCTGTTGGTTCTCTTGGGGGTTTATAGCTAGGCAGTGCTGACTCCTGCTCCTCTCTGGCTTTATTTCCCAGCTCTCTCAGCCCTCACATCAGCTCCTAGGCCAGGCTGAAAGCAGCATTTAAAGTCACCAATCCAAGTGTAAGCACAGACAGCAAACCACTCCTGGCTATTTACCACATGCTTTAAGAGATGACCTTGAATTCTCCTTGAAAAAACCCTTCCTGAAGTGCAGCCAGTGCCTGGGCTGGCTCTGCAGCCCCCAGGGCTTCAGCAGGCCATAAACCTCATAATTCAGGATACACTGCAGCTTGCCAAGCCCTAAATACCAAATATTCCAGCTCTCAAAGCACCCACTGCCTGCCCTGTTTTCTCCCATCTCTGGGAAGTACAAAATACAGGCATTGCCTTCCCAGAGTGCTCAGGATGGGCTGGAGCAGCAGTGATCCCTCAGGATACCCTTTCCAGATGGCCAAGGGAGGAAAGCTTGGAGATTTCAACCCTTCCCAGACAGTCACAGTTCCCTATCCTTTTTGGTGGCACCAAAAATCCTCAAAGCCACATTTCTCCTTCCCTTAGCAGCTCCTTGACCATGGAGCAGTGAGGAATGATCACAAAGCCATTAGAGGAACAATCATACAGACCTTAGCAGCATCTTGACCACAAAGCTGTGAGGAGGATCACAAAGCTCTTGGCAGCTCCTTGACCATAGTGCTGTGAGGAACCATCACAAAAAGCCAGTAGAGGAATGATTGCAGAGACAGCAGTTCCTTGACCATGGAGCTGTGAGGGAAAAAAATCATAAAATGGTTAGCAACTCCTTGACCATGAAGCTGTGAGGAATGATCACAAAGCCATTAGAGGAAGGATCACATAGACATTAGCAATTCCTTGACCATGGAGCTGGGAGGGAAAAAATCATAAAATGGTTAGCAACTCCTTGACCATGAAGCTGTGAGGAATGATCACAAAGCCATTAGAGGAAGGATCACATAGACATTAGCAATTCCTTGACCATGGAGCTGGGAGGGAAAAAATCATAAAATGGTTAGCAACTCCTTGACCATGAAGCTGTGAGGAATGATCACAAAGCCATTAGAGGAAGGATCACATAGACATTAGCAATTCCTTGACCATGGAGCTGGGAGGGAAAAAATCATAAAATGGTTAGCAACTCCTTGACCATGAAGCTGTGAGGAATGATCACAAAGCCATTAGAGGAAGGATCACATAGACATTAGCAATTCCTTGACCATGGAGCTGGGAGGGAAAAAATCATAAAATGGTTAGCAACTCCTTGACCATGAAGCTGTGAGGAATGATCACAAAGCCATTAGAGGAAGGATCACATAGACATTAGCAGTTCCTTGACCATGGAGCTGTGAGGGAAAAAAATCATAAAATGGTTAGCAACTCCTTGACCAAGGAGCTGGGGGGGAAAAAAAATCACAAAATGGTTAGCAACTCCTTGGCCATGGAGCTATGAGGAATGATCACATAGACATTAGCAATTCCTTGACCATGGAGCTATGGGGGAAGATCACAAAACAGTTAGCAACTCCTTGACCATGAAGCTGTGAGGAATGATCACAAAGCCATTAGAGGAAGGATCACATAGACATTAGCAATTCCTTGACCATGGAGCTATGGGGGAAGATCACAAAACAGTTAGCAACTCCTTGACCAAGGAGCTGGGGGGGAAAAAAAATCACAAAATGGTTAGCAACTCCTTGGCCATGGAGCTATGAGGAATGATCACATAGACATTAGCAATTCCTTGACCATGGAGCTATGGGGGAAGATCACAAAACAGTTAGCAACTCCTTGACCAAGGAGCTGGGGGGGAAAAAAAATCACAAAATGGTTAGCAACTCCTTGGCCATGGAGCTATGAGGAATGATCACATAGACATTAGCAATTCCTTGACCATGGAGCTATGGGGGAAGATCACAAAACAGTTAGCAACTCCTTGACCAAGGAGCTGTGAGGAATGATCACAAAGCCATTAGAGGAAGGATCACATAGACATTAGCAATTCCTTGACCATGGAGCTGTGGGGGAAGGATCACATGGCTCTTAGCAGCTCCTTGACCATGGAACTGTGAGGAACAATCACAAAGCTCTCAGCAGCTCCTTGCCCATGGAGCTGAGAGGAACGATCACACAACTTGAGCAGCTCCTTGCCCACGGAGCTGTGTCACTGCTGCCCAGCACCAGGGAGAGCACAAAGCAGTGCTGCAGTGTCCCCACGGGGCTGTGGGACCCTCCCTGGGCTGGGTTTGATGTGTGGTTTCTGTTCCCCAGGTAACAAGACCGAGAGGTCTATCCCTGTTAAGGCTCAAACCCCTTCCTCAGTGCAGCTGGCGGATCTGACGCCGGGGATGATGTACAAGCTGTGGGTGTTCCCCATATGGTCTAGCCCCAGCGAGCACTCGTACATAACCTTTACCACCAGCTCAGGTGAGAGGGGCTCCAGCCCCACCGCGGGTGCGTGTCCAAGGCATGTCGCATCCATCCCCGCCGACGGCGCTCGCGTGTGGCGGGAGGTGGTCTGACCATGGCTGCATGGAACAACCCTCATCCAACCCCTCAGCATCTCCCCCATCTCTGCCCTGGCTGAAGAGCATCGTTGGCATGGTGCTCCACATGTTGAAGAGCACCACCAAGATGTTGCTCCACGTTGAAGAGATGTTGAAGAGCATCACTGGATGTTGCTCCATGTTGAAGAGCATCATTGGATGTTGCTCCATGTTGAAGAGCATCATTGGATGTTGCTCCATGTTGAAGAGCATCATTGGATGTTGCTCCACGTTGTAGAGCATCATTGGCATGGTGCTCCACATTGAAGAGCATCACTGGATGTTGCTCCACGTTGAAGAGCATCATTGGCATGGTGCTCTGGTTTGAAGAGCATCATTGGAATGTTGCTCCGCGTTGAAGAGCATCATTGGATGTTGCTCCATGTTGAAGAGCATCATTGGATGTTGCTCCATGTTGAAGAGCATCATTGGATGTTGCTCCATGTTGAAGAGCATCATTGGATGTTGCTCCATGTTGAAGAGCATCATTGGATGTTGCTCCATGTTGAAGAGCATCATTGGATGTTGCTCCATGTTGCAGAGCATCATCAGCATGGTGCTCTAGTTTGAAGAGCATCACCAGGATTTTGCTCCACATTGGAGCGCATCATTGGCATGGTGCTCCACATTGAATTGAAGAGCATCATTGTAATGTTGCTCCATGTTGAAGAGCATCAT